TTTTTTTTTTTTTTTTTTGTACGTTGTTAATTATTGATGTTAATATTTATATAGTCTCGTTATTGGTTAAGTTTTGCTGTTAAATTTATTATAAAACCGGACGGTATTGTTTGTAATACACACGGCGAAAGTATATTAAGCGTTTATATTTACATTGTTATAAAAAACGAACACCGGGTATACCGGTCCGCGTAATACGTTTATTGATGTTAAAATTGTATAATGACGATAAATAATGCGCATTGACAAAGACGGAATGTGATAAGCAACGACGAAAACAATAAAATATATTTAACCGCGTAGCGTGACGCCGCGTGATTTCGCGGTTGTCGCGCGACAATGCTGATAACGGTTATAATATGACGTGTCTTTAAATAAATATTATTACTATTGTTATTATATGCATATTGATAATACCACGTTGTTTTGTTTATTCGCGCGCGCGCGCGTTATTCTTCCCGCCGCGGAGCCCGCCCCGGCCGCCGGGCAAACGCGTTGACGCGCCGCGCGTCCGTGCGCCGTCCCGCCGCCGGCGGCTCGTTTCCGGCGCTCGGCAAACTTCGGCCGCGGTCAACACGGCCGCGTTGGACCGCGTTGGACGACGCGCGAACCACGCGGCCGGACGGCCGCCCGGCGCGGCGGCGGCTGCGGGCGCCGACCGCGCGAACAAATCGGAAGACGGCGTCGCGAAAAGGATGAGCCGCGCGACGGTCGATCTCGTATTATGGCTTTTAGTTACGCGCAAACGTCGCGTCTGGAACCGCTGTCTAGTGGTTTTACGTACGCGCCCGCGTATCGGCGATCGCGGGTCCGACCTGGAAGTGGAGGGGGAGGTGGGGGGGAGGGGGTTCGCGTCGCCCCGGGCCCGAGGTTTCCGCGGGGGCCCGTACACAAACTGCGAAAGCAAACGGAAATGAGCGTTTACGGAATTTCGAAAAACCCGCACGCCCGTTGAAATCCTGTGTACAAGCGTGCTGCGAAAAAATCGTTTCGTTTAGAATTTTTAACAAACAAGTACCGCTGCCTGTTATCCAACACCGCGTACACAGTACACGATGGGTGATTTGATTAAACAACGATACACGGCGAGCACCTGCCTGTAGGCTATAATTTCTGGGACTCGGGTCAATAAGGGTCAATCTCACTTTTATTCGAATTTCGGGAAATTAAGAACAGAACGCATTTTCGGGCCTTTTTGATATTGCGATAGTAATTTTTCTAACAACATCGGGTCGTCTCGAATCTCGCAATAACGATTATTAAGATACGCCCTTTTATCACAAGAAAAACCATGTGCAATTTTGTACGACTGGCCATGCAATTGATTTCCACCGGACGGTGACGTTTGCGATGGTGTTCGTAGCGCGCAATGAGTTCAAAATAGTTCCGAGAATTATCTTTACGTCGTGGATCGGGCGGATAAGGAAACAAACGTCGGAGGACGGTGCTATACGTTCGATTTATTTTGTATTTTGTTTGTTTTTTATCCGTCGTGACACGTAGATAAATAAAAATATGATTTTAAATAGTGTTTTGTTTTAATTTCTATTTGGAAATATCGATAATATGTATATGTAAAAAAAATACGGGATAAAAAAAAGGGGTCTCGTATATGTCCACGGCCCTGTCTGTGGTTTCTATACCTACGGCATTTTCAACCGTTTACGAAATGATGTCTGAAATACGATCGTAACTAAAGGGCAGATAATGTATCAATTTAAAAAAAAAAAAACACCGCAAGTTTGGAAATAATATAGTATTATATAGGTACCTACTATAATAATATTATGTGTTCTATATTTTGTTTAGTATTTTCGAATTCATGAATATTGCGCAAATACCAAGACATTTTTAGATTTCAACTTCCCATATTTGATGCACAAGAGGCACAAGAGGTAAGTGCGTGTTTTTCTATCAAGTTTTTTTGTAATCCTTAAAAGTTAAAAACGAAAAACGGACAATAATATAGGCCTCTATACAAGAGCTTAGACACACTCGGATGTTATTTACGTTAACGTAATACGTTCCTCTTTTATTGCATTGTTTTTAATATTTCACGCGTTTTACAAACAAAATTTTATCGTTTATTATTTTTTGATTTTAAAGTTTTGACAATTATATCGTCTAATTTTAATACACCACTACGTTAATATTAATTCCTATAGTTACTATTGAATTTAAATAATATGTTATAATAGTTATTATTAAAGTCATTTAAATGTTATTAGAAAGACTAAAAGAAAAAAAAAAGAAAAGTGATTTTTCCAGATTTTATTCAAATGTCGTCGGTTTTGTAAAATAAAAATGTAACGATATTTTATTTAATGACACTTGGCTTTTGGATTATTTTTTTTTTTTAACGTTTAAGCGAAAAATATTAGTGATTTGTATTAAACACAAGTGAGTATTAACAATATCCGAGCCTGAAATATCTCTCCGGCACACTGTATAACAGTAGGCATACAGTAACAAAAGCTGTTGTACCGCAGCTTAACATGTATTGTAATATAATGAACTATGTATGTTTCAAACCGGGTTGTTTGGTGAACAACGCGATGGCCGTAGGTTTGTCATCAGATAATATTACTGTTATTGTTGGAACAAATAGAAAAAAAAAATTCAATTCGAAATAAAATAATAAATACAGTGTATAATATTACTAAACGGAAATACATTTCGTATAATTTATGGTTTTTTTTTTTTTTTTGTAATAAATAAAATAACAAATTCTAAACGGAAAATTAAAGCGGTTAATTTAACTAAAATTTAGATTACTATAGGGTATTTTGTTTCATTGTTAACATTATTTTTTTTTATCGCGTTTATAATCGCGGTGCGTTTTGTTGGTTGCATCTGGCGCAATCGTTTGTAACGCCCGAACTGCAAATCTCTTGTTGCGTGTACAGATTTTGTTGTAGAGCTGCACTCATACCGTTTTCGATAATTCTTCGGAGGTTTTGTCCGACTTCTCTGGTGAATTTTTGGTTTTCGTTCTGGGACTCGCTGAATTTCGCGAAGTCGTATCTGAGTCCGTCCAATTCTATCTTGGCGTCCTGGACTTGGAATTTGTATTCACCGTTTTGCTGTTGTACGCGTTCCATGACAGCCGAGGCGAAAATGTGTTGGGCTTGGAATTTGACATTTCTGACAGTGACCTCTAGGGGTCCTTTTTTGGCGATAACGTCCGATTTCCATGCGGGCCGTGTAGCTAGAACGACCTTGACCTTCAACTGATAACCGTTTCCGTTCATGTTTTTGCGGAAACCGACGAAATCAACTTTCCGTTGATCGGTGGTCTGTTCATCAGTCCATGATTGGGTCTTCTCAAAAGACACGGACAGTTTGGATTTCTTGTTGGCGACCATTAGATCCGCGTTGTAGTTCGATGGGAGTTTGAATGGAGTTTCGATTTCGTATTTTAAACAGGCTACCAAACCGTTGTTACAGTTTTCGATCAATTCACTTTCGACGGCTCTGCTCATGAACTGGACGTACCGGCTTTTAATGCTTTCATTTATCGACGAATCCTCGAACGACGACGATTGTTGGAAGTTCAGATAGTTTAATTCTGTGTTTTCGATGGACGAACGACAGTTGTTCTTATTCCGGTTGCGGTTTTGCAATTCAGTTGAAATGTTAACGTTGGCGTTGTTTATCTTCAAGTTGAACGATTTTTTTTGTCCTGCGCCGGCTTTGACGTTACCGTTCACTGACAATTTATCAAAAAAGTATTTCATTTCGACCTGTACAAAATTCGTTAAAATATTATTAGACAAATCAAATCACAGTCAACAAAATATAAGTATAAACTTACACTTTTGCTTTCAGCATTGAAGTACATTTCCTTGACGATTCCTTGGTTAAGGCCATTTACGTAGCTATTGTTTATATTCAAGAATTTATGGTTGGGCAATGACAAAGTGAAATGTCTCAAGTTGAGTGGTTCTCGAGCTTGTTGGACTTTGACGGTTCCGTCACGATCAGCATATTTCTCGACGATGTTGAAAAATTTGACCATTTTTTGTGCAACATTGTGTCCAATACTGTCAGCGACTTCGCTTATTCCACTCTGTTCTTTGATGTAATCTTCTTGAAAGCCAATTTCTGAAGAAAATTTGGATTCAGCAATGTTAAAGTTAGAAGAATATTCGGAGACTGGGGTGTTTTGGTATTTTTTGTTCAGAGTTTGTTGATAGTTTTGTTCCTCGTTATTTCTATTGTTTTGGGATCCGCTGAAATCCGACCTTGCCCATTGGTTATCCTCTGCGTCAACAGATTCTTGGCTGTTTTGTCCCATCTGTTTGTTTTGGTTCTGTGATAAAACACTAGATTGAACGTTCCGTTTTGACTCGATGTACTCATCGTTAAGACCTTGTTGATTTTGTTTGTATTGTTGGTTTTGTTGGTTTTGTTTGTATTGATCGTATTGTTGGAATTTTTCATTTTGTTGGAATTGTTGGGTTTGTTTGTATTGGTCGTTTTGTTGGAATTGATCATTTTGTTGGTTTTGTTTGTATTGAGCGTATTGTTGGTATGGTTGGTTTTTTTGGTCTTTTTGATTTATATTATCGCGGTTGTATGCAGTATCTTGGTTGCCCTGTTGTAATTCTGCAGATTGTCTCTGACTCAGAGTGTAATCATTATTTTGACTATTGAAATCCGAGTTCGATTCTAGTGCGTCAAATTGGCTGTTTGCATTCTGGCCCGAAAAACCGAAAACTGACAACATACAAATAAAAATTATTAAATCTAATTTCGAGAAATAGACATAAAATAAATAATTAGGTACGAGTTTCATTCCCTTCTACATATTAAAATAATATTATATTATGATTATTTTTCTAGTTTCTATGACTGAAATAAGTCATAGTTCTTTTCTGAAATAATAACTAGACGTAATTTATTTCTAGAAAAATTGTTTTTCATACTCGTATACAACGACAATATTAAAACATTGAATAGTTTTATAATCATATTATAAGTATTATAATATAATTTAAAAGCCAAACGGTTTTTGAAATAAATTTAGTATATAATTTATTTTAAAACTAATGTAAAAAAATCTAACTATTAACTAAGATATGTTCAGAAGCGAAGCGGTTATAAATTAATATACGATATTTAAATATGTATGACTATTTTTGAAAAAAAAAAAAGGTAAGTATATTTTGTAAAAAAAATTATATTTTCTTAATTGATCTACACGGTGTATTAACTTTAAAATGTAGGTATATATTATTATTTAATAATATTAACTATTGACATTAAGTTTTCTTCAAAAAGCACGTTTAAAATAAATTAAGCGAGTATATTATTTTTTGTTCGCGTAAAACACAAGTGTTTTAATATTATTATTTTAATATGCTATAACCGAGGCGACGGATAGAAATTATATTACTAAGTAAGTACTTACAGGCTTCCGATCGGGCTGCTAAGAGTCCAAATGCTACGATGGCTAACAACTTCATTTCGATTTACTATTATAGCCAGCCGGGTAGTATGACTGTTTAATATTGTACAATATTATCCAATATTGTACAACTGAATGATACTTCTACGACTGGCGTGAGTCCCTTTTATACTAAAATTTCCATACAGCCGACGAATATGATGTAACGGTAGGAAAGTCCGTATACTATGTGTTATCATACTAAATGTGTATATAAAAAAAAAAATTTAATTTGCACCGTCCTCAAAAAAATTATTTTAATTCTAGTGCCACACGTAGTCGAGTTATGATATATCGGTTTTTGCCGATTCGCAATAATTTGACCGAGCTACACAAAAAATGAAAATTATAGGTACATCAATATTCGATAGGGACTAAGTGGAGACATAAATTTATATAAATAAAATTCGATATATCGAAATACCGACTTATCGAAATTGGCAAAAGAAAAAAAATAGTAAAAGTAATAAAATAGTATATTTTTATTAAATGTAACAAAAAACTACGAAATCATTATAATTATAATTTGAAAAACATTACGTGCATTATTATTAGAAAATTGGTGCGAAAATAATCATTTAAATTTTTATCAGGAATTTTATGAAAAATATGATTTTACGTTTGCTAATTAAAATATATTTATTTTATTTTTTTATTTAAATTTTATATGAACAGTTATAAAGGTCATATTATTATCGCGTGTAAATAGAATTCGATTTAGAATAATATTCGAATTGTCGAAGTTTTACATTATTTTATATTCGAGAGAAAAAACAAAATCATTATGGCGATAAGAAAATCCCAGAGGACTTTGGTGTTTTTTGGGGATTATTGGAGTATTCGAATTCTGGAATTTCGAGTTTTTATATCACGACAACACTGCTAATATATCGTTAATTCGATTAATTTATGAAAAAACACGTTTTTACGTGGGTCAATTTTTTTTTTTTATTTTTTGTTAAATTCCATTTAAGAAAAATAATGCGTAACAATATCACGGACGCTTATGTTATTACAACATATGTTTATAAATGAATATTGTTCGAACTCGCTTTTTTTTATTTGACGAAAAATTCGACAAATAAATATTTACATATTAAAAAAAAGAACGGATACTGGAAATGGGTGCAGTCATTGTTGTAGGCGGTAAGTTTAGAAGGTAGGATACATAAGATTATTTCGTTTATACATGTAAGCAATGATAAACCATTGCGGATAAAAGACAATTCCGAGAGCAGTTCGGTAATACATAATTTGAAGTTCCGTATTTTTTTTTTGAGATTTTCGCTTAAATTTGATTTAAAAACGCTAATTAAAAAAAAAAAAATCATCAAAAATATGGTCTCTTGATGTTTTTCAATTGGAGCCTTGTTTGTGCTAGAAACGTGGTAGGTACTCATTTAAAATAACGAAACCGTGAAAAAATCGTATTTTTTTCCGTACCGTACGTATCAACGTGTCTAGCTACCCCGAGTAAAGCAGTACGCGGTACCGGCCGTCGTCAACCTGCGGAGCGAACAGCGACCCTGTCGCTGACCGCATGATGTCGTCCAACGAGTGGTTATAGACGTTCGTGGGCGAGTAGGTTCAGGTAACTGGAACAGCTCTCGACGGTCAAATCCTTGGACTCTACTTTGGCCAGGGCCCGCAGCTTAAGCGCCCGGAAGGGGAAGGAACAAGGTAGGGCATTGTCCCACCCCGATTTTCTAGGGTGATTACACAAAAACAAAGGCCATCATCGCAAAAACATTAGGCGAGATAGTCGATTGGTCGTAATGCATGTCTTTAGAACGTGTCAAGTTGCCCACACACACTATAGTCCATTACATAATCGCACACGAATTCAGAAAACAAAAGACGTTTTAGATATACTGGAAGAAACAGTTTTCTTCATATTGATTTCTCCAAATCCGAGTCGATGTAGTTTCTATTTTTCAAAACATTCGTTAAAACTGTTTATACATTACATATATTACCCCTTAAAACATTTCGGTAGCGCGACCTCCTCCCTAAAAATGTATAAATAATTAAAACTGCGTCGTTGCGCCCCGTGAAATTATAAAACATTATTATTGACTATTGTCGTACCGCCCTGTAATTAATTACGCGGTTGCAGTGAAAAAACGTCGTCGAAAACTGACGTGTTTAAACGACGTGCTATCGATTTTTATATTATAATACAACAAACACCCTTTTTGACGTAGTTTGAACACTCGCGAATAATGTTCGTACATCAATTTTGTAGATAAACTGTCTCATTCGACTAAATTGAAAATCAATATTTCATACCCTTCATAGATAATGATATTGTGTATAATGTTTGTTTTTAATATTTGTACGATACTTACTATTTTTTTTTTTTTTTTAGCATATATTAACGACATATTTCGGTATTTTTAGTGTACATCCGCTTATATTGGTATTTAAACGTTTTTAGAGCGTATACATTTCTAATTAAAGANNNNATACCCTTCATAGATAATGATATTGTGTATAATGTTTGTTTTTAATATTTGTACGATACTTACTATTTTTTTTTTTTTTTTTAATATACACGTGTTTTCGAACGAATTTCACTATATTACACAATAAATAAACTCTGTGATATAAGGATCACAAACCATAATTTTGAAAATTCTATGAAAGCGAGTACCTGAATAATTTCGAATCGATCAATTTTTATTTTTCTATAACAATTTCATTAGAATGTTGTCCGTACGGAAACCTCTTAAATACGTACGCCATCGTGACCCGTGACCTGGTTAGCTGTTTTATTTCAAACTCAAGAATAATATATTACCTACAGCGATTTTTTACATTTTCAATATGAATTTTATCATTCCTTTTTTTTTTTTTTTAGCATATATTAACGATATATTTCGGTATTTTTAGTGTACATCCGCTTATATTGGTATTTAAACGTTTTTAGAGCGTATACATTTCTAATTAAAGAATACATTCAAATATTTTAACGGTTTTCTTGCAGATTATTGGCGTAATAGTAATAAGTATAAAGTAAAACCATCGTTGTTTATCATAAATTCGATATTATTTTACGCGTTCGTTTCGTATTTCTCGTAAATAATAATCTAATTTTATAATTTACTCGGAAACGGTGTAATATTGCATGCATGCAAAACCGAAAATATAAAAATATTGCCAACTTTTTAATGTATATATATAAAAAAAAAAAATTTTTAACGAGTTTTTCGAAAAAACGTAAAGTACTTTCGTACCCAATCAAATAAATATATAATTATAATAAGTACCATTTGATTCACAGTACCCGTTCAAAACGTTCGTATATTATACGTGAGTTACAATAATTAAATATTGTTATTTTTTTTTTCAACTCGAAAGTGTGTACAAATTAAAAAGTTTATCTTCTTTTTGCTATCGAGTCGTACATGCCTATAATTATAATTACACGATTTATCATACTTTAATTGAACATAACATTTTATAACAATATACATAGGTATATAGGGTGATTATTTTATCACGAACCAGCAATTTTCTTTGAAAATTTTAAATGAATTTGATTTCTGTTTTTTTTTTTTATTCATTATTTAAACACTATTTTCAATTTTTTACACCTACTCTTAATACCTGAAATGAGTATTCACATTGAAGTTTTCAAGAATTCTAATTGTAGATTTAAATAGAGGTATAACAATTAAAAGTTTAGATCAGAGGTCTATAATAATATTACAGTATTTTTTAGTACCTTAGTATACAATAAATAAATAATTATTTTTATCCAAAAAATTACGAGAAAAGCTCGAAAAATTATTATGGAATTAGGTTTTGTGAAAAAAAAAAAAATAGATAAAAATTAGTAGCATAAACCAATACCGTATAAGGACTAATTATTGCGAGGATATCGAAATTCAGAATATCGGCTATCAAGGTTTTTAATGTCCTTAATGTCACTAGAATGTGAAAAAAAAAAGTTTAAAAAATTTGACATTCAACTGATATATCTGTCAATTTCAATGTCGATTTTTAAGTATTGGATCGGTTATTGCGGTTTTATATCGGTAGCGAGTACCGAGTTATCAGATATCGGAAATAGGGTACAATATATACTGTATAGTGTATATACCTATGGATTTTCTTCTAAGAACTTAACCTAAAAATGTAAATCTTCACGGTATTTTTACGACCATGATTGTTTTGCATACATTATAACATATTGGTTAGTAGATACATCACTACACCGAGAAAAGCCGAAGGACTGAGATTAGATACTATAGTGGTTTTCACGAGAGAAAAATTCTTAGGAAAGTATATCTTTGGTGAACGGATTGGGAGGTGATGTTGCAAATATTAACCATAAATAATTCGTAGAATCTTCTTCGTCCAATTCGATATTGAAAATTTAAAAGCTGGATCAAAAAAAAAACAATTTTTAATCATTATTTTATAAATATCTAATAATATATTATTATATCTAGTCTTTCCTCGGAACTTAATTGACACGTAATGTTTTCAAGATTAATTTCGTAAATAAAATACTCATAGTTTTATTAAAAAGACAACGGGAGTGAAGTTATCATGACCCTTAACATTTTCACTTGCACACGCCACCGATTATAGTGTTTTATATGTCTCAATAGATGGCTAAAAGAAGACTGACTCGGGCCGACAACGACTGGCGTAAACAGCTGAATCTTATAGCGAAACTGGTGATAGAGAAAAACCCTATAAAATAGGAAAAAGCACTTTACAGACCGATGATAATTTGGACAGTACGTGTTAATTGATACAGGTGGACATTATGGAAGGCAGTGCAACCGAAAAATCGATGGAGATTGAATAGCTGCGGAGAACGCGAATTTAGGTCACGGGTTTTATACAGCGGTACCTATATAACATGTTCTCATAAAGGTTAACGCCACAGCAAAAGAAGAATGAATAATATCCGTCGTCTACCGAAATGTATAACGTTTAGAATGTCCGAGATGACCGTCGTGTAAATTTTAAGAACAATTATTGTTCTAAAATAAAAAAAAAAAA